CGCGTGTCAGGTGATCAGCATGTGCTGGGGGGTCAGCGCGTGTCGGGTGATCAGCACGTGCCGGGGGGTCAGCGCGTGTCGGGTGATCAGCACGTGCTGGGGGGTCAGCGCGTGTCGGGTGATCAGCACGTGCTGGGGGGTCAGCACGTGCTTGGGGGGTGGTCAGCATGTGCTGGTCACGCCCGCTCACCTGTCTGCTTTGTCTCGCCTCCTCTCCCGTAGCTACTACATGATGGAAAACCGGCCCCGGAACATCTACGGCTTGGTCTGCTACTCCTGCCTGCTGGCGCCGCCCCACACCAAGGAGTGTGAGTGCCCCTGTGCTGTGTCCGCGGGCCGGCGCCGGCTCTGGTACCTGTCCTTACTGGCCCAGCTCATGGCCATGAGGGTGCAAAGATGCTGCTGGGGGCTGGCCGCCAGGCCACAGGTCTGGGATGGGGCTTTGCGGTGGTGGAACCATGAGGCAGGCTCAGGGCAGTGCCGTCCCTTGACAAGTCCCGTGACCCCTGTGAGCCTCTGCTTTCTCACCTGTAACGCGGAGCCACTAAAATCTGAACCATCCATCTCGTGCGATTGTTGCAAATACACGTGATGCCAAGGTATTTTGCCAAGTACTGCATGGCGCTAGGCAACTGAAGGTTGTCACACGTGTTTTTAAAAGCAGTGAGGCCAAGGGATATTAGGGATGAGCATGAAGCGCCTGAGGACACAGGGGGTCTAGAGTTTAGAGTCCCGCCTGGTGCTGCCTCCTTCCTAGTCCAATGCTGATTCACTGCTCGTGGGCGTCCGTTTATGATGGAGGGCCAGGGGCTCTGCCTCAGGGGAGGTAGTGTGTGTCCCGTGGGGTCTGCGATCGGGAGAGACCCTAGTGAAGTGGGCTGGATGGACGGCTGGACGGCTGGGAGGGAAGTGGGTGTCTGCACCCCGTTCCCGTCCCAGGGCCTTCAAGGGCGCCCACAGGGGCCCTGCCCACCCCACTTCTGCAGAGACTAGAACAAGGGCCTCCCCCTCAGGGCACCAGGAGGAGGCAGCCCACCTTCCCTCCCCTTCGGGTCAGCCGGAGGAGGTGGTGTGGGCGGGGCGGGGCTGCCCAGGGGAGGGCCATCCCCTCCCTCCCAAAGTCCTGGTGTAGGTGAGATGGATTGCGAGTCTTTGGAGCTGAGCCTCCCTGCCCAGCCAGACACTAATTAATTCACAAATCACACGAGGCCCCGGGCTGCTGCCACTGCTGCCGGCTGCTGCTGGGGAGTCTGGACAGTTCAGTCCCAGAGAGCTTGGGGGTGTCCTGGCTGGGGAGACAGCGGACACTCACCACCTACTGGAAAAGGCTCTTTGCTGTGGACCCTGCGAAACAGGTAGCCCTTCCCCACGGGCCTTCATGTGACCTTGTCAAGCCCCGGGACCCCTCTCCAGCAGCCGGAGAGCTCTAAGTCAGGGAAGGAGCAACTGTCCTCCACTCCAGGGAGGCCCGTCACATGGGGGAAGACAGCAAAGTCCCCGAACCCCAGACCCTAAATGACTGCTGATCTGAAGAGCAGCCCGCTGCTCAGCCCCTCGTGGGTTTGCAGGACCCAAGCCTGAAGGAACCAGCAAGGACGCGAAACTGAGAGTCAGGGAACTGGGAGTCCTGCTGTGTGACCTTGAATGTCACCTAACCTGTTTCCCTGCCTGGGAAATGGGGAGATGCCTCTGGCGAGGCCTCATGGGCTGCCGTGGTGAGTAGAGCCTGCCTGGGCTGGGGTCTCAAGTGTGGTCTCCCCTCTGGGCCTGTAGCCCACTCTGCACTGACCTGTCATCTGGGGCTCCTGCTTAAGAGTCAGCAGAGAGGGCGAGGAAGGCTGACCGTGACCAGCCCCCAGGCTGCTGGCAGCCCCACCCCGGGAGAGCCAGGAATGCTCAGGTCCCCGAAGTCGCTGGCTGGCTGCCCTGTGCCCTGGCTCTGCCCTCCCTGAGCCCACGGTCAGGGGTCCAGGGCCCCCTTGCCTCCACCCTGGACGCTGCCTTTGGTTGGATGTGATCACCTGGGCCTGTCCCGCGTTGCTAAACAGTGGACAGTACAGACCACGTCCACAGTGCTCAGCACAGACCCCAGTGGGGCGTGACATGGACGTATACATCTCAGGGCTGGAGCAGGCCCTGCGAGGCCCCCCCGGGGAGACGTCTTGCAGGCATGAGCCCTGGGCTGCTCACCTCTTCCCCCTGTGCTTCTGTCTTTAAAGAAGGCGGCTTCTCTGTGTGGCCGTGAACTGGGGCGGGGGCCTCTTTAGAGTCTGACGTGCCTGCATCACACACGGCGGGGCCCACCCCTGACTCAGCGGCTGGGGGGCCAGGACCGCACTCTGGGAACAGCGAGGTCAGTGAGGGGCCTGCTCTGAGTCTAGTCCCTGTTTAACCTGGACAAGCCCCTGACCTCTGGCGTCTCTGTTTCCCCACCTGCCAAATAGGCTGTTGTGGGGCTGGGATGGGCTGTGTCCATGACACGTGGCCACGGGGCTGGTTTGGGGGCCCAAAACGGACATGTGGACTCAGCCTGTGAGATACCCGTCTAGCCGTGAGGGCTGCCTGGCCTCTGGTCCCCTTTGTGTCCTCCTGGTGGGCCTGACACACACACAGGAGCCCAAAGTACTTGAAACCTGAGAGCACAAAGTGGTGTGTGAGTGGGGGTGCCGCAGGGACGCCCAGGGCCCTCAGCTCCTCCTCTCCTGTGTGGACCCCCCACTGTCAGCAGAGCTTCCGGGAGGAAGGCCTGCAGCAAGCGAGCACGGCCCCAGCGCCGCGTCCAGGGACGGCCACACGAGGTGGTCATTTCTCAGACAAGGGCGGGTCCACCTGGGGTGACCACTGCGCTCCTGCTCCAGCCCGAGGACCCCCCTGGGAATCTGCATCGTCCGGACAAGAGGTGGCAGAAGAAAGGCCATGGCATCGATTTGGGCTTCGTGACGTGTTTCCACTCTCAGGAAGTTCCTTGGCTGTGGGCCCCAGCTTCCCTGTCTGTAAGTGGGTCGCCTGCTGTCCGCTGTCGCGGGGACAAAGGTGCAGGAGGCACCCAGTCCAGGCCTGGCCCGTGGCTCTGAAGATGAGCACCGCCTGCCGGCCTCCCGCCATCCTGAACAAGACGGCTTGCGGCAGAAGGAATCCCTCCTCACGGGACCTGGGGTCAAGGATGGGCACCCGGCCGGCACCCAGCAATTCTTCCATCGCCGCCATCATTCTCTCATCCCGCGTCAGGGGCCACGGCCCAGAGCCAAGTCCGGGAGCGCCAGGCCATCTATCCAGATGCTGTCATGAGAGGCCCAGCCGCGGTGTTGCTGGAACGGGAGGCCTTGGCCCCCGGAGGCCGAGCCCCAGCTGTCTCTCACATGGAGCGTCTTGACTGGCAGGTGCTCCTGTCCACACTGAGCTGGCCTCAGGTCCGGGGTCAGAGCGCATCCCCGCTGAGACAGCCAAGGCCCTAGGGCTTTGCCCAGCCTCCGCACCAGGGGCACCACTGTGGCAGCCTTACAGATGGGTGAATCCGTGAATCTCTCCCTAAATCAGGGTAGGGGGTCCCAGCCAGACTGATCCAGACCAGCATAGCCACAGCTGGTGTGAGGAACAGAGCGAGGGCCCCAGGAGCGCCTGCTGTCACCTGGAGTCGCGGTGCAGTCACGTGGGCTGTGAGCTTGGTCCTCAAAGCCCCCAGAGGATGAGGGATGTTCCCTGGGCAGAGCCCGCTGTTCGACTCAGCACAGCCAGACCCACTTGCTGTCCTTTGAAGACAGGCCTCGTGTGGGAGCCAACACCCAGCCCTGAGGGGCATTCTCATCGCAGGATCCACGCCAGGACACCCATCCTGGAGGGAAGCCTCAGACACCAAAACCAGTGTTGGTGCTGAGTTAGTCCTTAGGGGACCAGAGCAGAGCCTGGGACAGAACTCAGGCTGTGCAGGGTCCCTGCAGGGCTGTCCTGAGGGAGCAGGGCCCTGGCAGGGTGGTCCTGAGGGAGCAGGGTCCCAGTGGGGCGGCCCTGAGTATGCCCACAGAGATGTCCCACTGTCCATGCGGCAACCCGGGCCCCTAGGACGTGCTCAGAACAGATCATTTGTCTAATCTGCTCAGGGATCAGCGAGGAGCCCAGGGCTATCCAGGCGCCACCAGCTGGAGGCCACCGGGGGGTGTGGTGAACTGGGGCAGAGGCCTAGCTTGGCACCTGGCCCTGGCGGAGTGCCCGCAGGGGCAGGAGAACGTGGTTGCTATGTGCCAGCCCCGCCTGGCGGTTGCAAGGGCATGTTGTAAGTCTGGCGGCTGGCTGCTCTGGGTGTCCCTCTCTGGACCACAGGCCTGGGCGTGTTTGTGTCCCCAAGCCCCTCACCGGCCTCAGCCAGCAAGTCCCCACCAAGAGGGACGGGAACAGACAGAGACACAAACACCCACATGCAGCGCCTCCAGGTATTTGGCTGCCTTGAGCCCCTTACAAACAAACAGACAGTCTCTTCCCAACAGCCCACTTGCTTTTGAAGGGAAATCAGTTGTGCTTGGAGCTGGCCCCGTTCCCCCTCCCCCGCCCTGGCCAGGGTGAGAAGGCGAAATCAACTCGATCCCATTGAAATCTCATAAATTACAAGATGTGTGTAGATTTGGGGTGGGGGGAGTTACTGCTCTCCAGAAAGGTGGGGGACATCCCTGTAAGCTCTGGACGCCAGCGGCGCTGCACTCAGGAGCCGGCCCGGCGGGGAGGAGAGACCTTCCACGCGTCCCTCCACCCTCTCCCCTCCTGCTTCCTGTCCCCTCACCCGCCTTGCTGAGAGAAGTCCCCCTACGTGGGCTCGGGGCTGTTTGGCAGGTCAGCTCTGGGGTCCCCACTGCGGCCACCACGTCCCTCGGTCCCACCCCCTTGGTGGTGGAGCTAAGACCTAACCCAAAGGCCAGTGGTCGGTCGAGGACAGAGCAGGAGAGAAGCGGGGGCCACGCGTGTGCCCGGCGCAGGGAAGATGCTGCCCCAGTGTGTGCAGTTGTCTGGATGGCAACCCTGCCAGAGACAGATATGGCAAAGGACAAAGGCCAGGAGCTTGGCGGGGTGAAGGCCCAGGAGCCGAAAACCTCCAGCAGAGACACCTCTGGTCCTGGGACACCTGGCCAGCTGGTGGCGGGCTCTTCAGGGCAAGGAAGGCTGCCTGGGGGTATGCATCGGGGAGCGTGTGCTGCCTCTGGGGACAGTTCAAGCCCTAACTAACGGCACTGCTGTCACTCGGGGCCAGTCCCCCACCTGCCCATCCCTTCCAGCCTCCCCCCTCCTCCTCTGTGAAGTTTTCTGGTTTTAAAAGGCGAGGGATCAGGGTTTCTGGCCCGCCCACCTGTGACCTCCTCTGCTTGCTGGGTATGTGGACAGTTCAGCCAGACGTCCCCTGTCCATCAGCTGTGTTGCTGTCCTGAGCAGCCCTGAGATGTAATTTAGAAATTCATTCCCCTTGGATGCCCTGCAGGGGCTGCCAGGGTCCTGGTGGACGTGGAGTCTGATCACCTTTCCACAGGTAAACCCACGAATGACTCCGAACCCGGGAGAGACAGAAGCGAGAGAGAAGGAAACTTCTTTAAAACAAGATTCTCTTTACTAATTGCAGACCTCAAGCCCGGCCTAAAGGAAGGTCCACACCAGGGCATTTTAACGCAACAGTCCCCTAGTGACTCGCCCGACCACAAAATCAGCCTCTGCGTCATCCCTGCCAAGCGACGCTTCCCACAAGGGGGCAGAACTTTGTGAGTCGCGGTTCTGAGGGAAGGAAGCATATTTCTGCTCTTTGACAGTTCAGTCACAGCCATTGTGAAAACGTATCAGAGGCAAAATCCTAGAGGAAAACACATCAAAGTGTCAGCTTTAGGCAGTGAGGCTGCGGGCAGCTCTTTTACTTCTCTCATGTTCTGGTTTCTTCCAGATTTTCAAGAGTGAGTGTGCATTACTTTATAGCCAGAAAAAGTATGAAAAATACATTCCTGTTCGATGCAATTGAAAGAATTATTCCAGCTTTTCCCCCCAAACATATTTTCACATGCAGGTGCAAGTCCTTCGTGTCGTAGGAGACTGAGTTGTGAGTCTGTCCACACTGAGCAGTGAGGCTCAGTGACGACCCCAGGAGCCTCTGCGGGGTTACCACACGCCCCGCGGCCCTGTCCCCAGCTCTGCGGGTGGGGCTTCCCGGGCCCTCTGAGGGACCCACGGTGACCGTTGTCCTTGCAGGTGTGGGAGCCACCGCGGGAGTTTCTGCCAACCTCCCCCGCACACCTGGCGGCAGCACCCTCTCCCCGGCCCAGCACGCCCACAAAGGTAGGGCGCAGGCCCCTCGGGGAGGGAGCCTGGGGGTGAGGACAGTCAGGAGGAGACGGGAGGAAATAAGTAAGACGGAGTCGCCCCCACCTCAGACCTCTCCTCTCAGTGACAACCACGTGGGGCCCTCAGTTCCTGGAAGTTAGGGTGTTCTCTGCAAGGAGAGGCATGCGTGCCCCCGGGGGTGTCAGGCCCCAGGACCATGTTGGTGATCAGGGTGTGAGCAGAGACCAGCCTCCTAGGCCGCTGGGCCTCACGTCAGGGACACCCTCCTGGCTTCCAGACAACCTGCTGACCGGACTTCACTGTTTGTATCCAGTAACTGCACTTGGCTCCCTAAGGCCTTAGGGAGGGAGCTGTGGGGGCCCCCAGGCCGCGGCTGCTCCCAAGACGGGACTGGGCACTGAGGCCTCCTTCCCACGTGCGTTTCCACGCCATCGGGGTCTGAGCACGTTCAGGCCCAGGGTCCAGGCTCCAGCCCCTCCTGGGTCCTGGGGTGCACTCAGTCCACCAGCCCGGCAGTGCTCCAGGCCCATGCGCACAGTGGCCAGAGCATCAGGGCAGGAAGGCTTAGCTGAGCACATGGACCGGGGGAGGTGGCACCAGCCCGGAGGGAAGGGCGACACGTAGATGGCCCACCCCCACCCAGAGGGCAGGCGGCGGCTGGTGCCAGCTCTGGGCAGCCTCCCTCCGGGCGGGGTTCCGGGATCCGGGATCCAGGGACCGGGACGCGTCTCCTTCCCATCTGATGGGGTGACTGGATCCTGCAGCAGGGGAGCTGGGTCCCCGTGGCTCCCTTGGAGGATTAGGACAGATCACAGCAGACGTCCCTGGGGGGACTTGGGCGGGGGTCTCACGCCAGCTCTGCCGGCGCTGGTCACGCTGAGGCTGAGGTGACGTGAGACACACTCGCACATGATCTTTCCTTCCTGAGATTTTCCTGGAAAATTTTGTCTTGCCCTGTCTTCAGGACAGTTTTGTTCGTGGGCCCCTCCTCTCCACACCTACCTGCCCGGGTCCCCGAGGCAGCAGAACCCAGAGCAGACGTCCTGGGAGCAAACTCCCCAGGGGGTGGGAGCCGCTGCCACCCAGCACAGGTTTCAGGGCTCGCGATCTGCATCCTGAGGGTCCGGGAGGGTCCAGCGGCAGGACCGCCGCTCTTGGCCGTGGTCTCACAGGAGGGCCCTGAGCCCCGGGCGTGGCCTTGTCTCCTGACACAGCAGAGCTCTCGGGCCAAGGACACCTGGCCACAGCCCTGGTCATCGCCATGTCCACCATCTTCACCATGGCCGTCAGCATCGTCCTCATCATCGTCTTCTACATCGTGAAGGCCCGGCCTCCCGCCCCAGGTGCTCGCTGCCCGTCGCCCACACCCACCCGAGCCCCATGGCCTGCACTGCCTGCTCACACCCTTCTCTCTCCCAACCAGCCTGCTGCGCCAGCCCCCCGATGAAGAGCCCGGAAGCCCCCATGTGCGAGGAAGAGGAGAAGAAAGAGGCCCCAGGTCCGCAGCAGCCCTGGAGTGCGGGCCTGTCCCCGGGAGGTTGTCTGCCCCTCCGGCCGCTGCCCGCACCTGGCCTCTGACAGCCCCAGCTCTCACGCAGCTGGGGGAGAGGCTGAGGGAGGGGGGTGGGTGCACCCACTCCGTGGGGTCTGAGGCTGAGGAGAGTCCCGGGCAGGTCTGCCCCCAAGGAGGCCGGCTGGGCCAGACTTTGACACCTTCCCCTCCCATCCCTTATTTCCACAGAAAATGTGGTGATCTTCTCTGAGAAGGACGAATTCGAAAAGCTGACAGCTGCTCCGGCAAAGTCTGCCAAGAGGTGAGTCCGGCAATCGGCCCTAGCCAGGCAAGGCAGGTCCCAGGCCCACTGAAGGCAGGGTTCCTGGGGGTCCAAGCAGGACAGGGAGCTGGGCTGCGGCGTGGTGAGTGACCTGGAGGCTGTGCCGGGTGCCCTGGGGGAGCAGCAGGGCTGCGGTGCGAGGGGTGGTGGTCCGGGGCCGGGGGGGGCAGTGAGGTGCGGGGCGTCTGCCCCAAGGCTGCTCTCGGGAGGGACAGCGTCAGGACCCGAAACCTCCTGGCTTGTTTGCTCTGCGTCCTCTGCCTCCAGAGGACATTGGGCGGGAAGGGGCTTCACTTCTGTAACCCAGTTGCTAGCAAGTATAACTGTTTTTAAGTAAGTCTTCAGCCAAACCACAGGAAGTGAGTAGGATGCCTATAAAAAAAGAACATCGTTTTTCATACATTTGGAATGATTTTGAAAGTTTAAGCACCAACCCACGTGTGCCTAGGGCTCTGGCCCAGGCAGGGAGCCAGGGTGTGACATGAGCCCTCCTGCCCCCCGAGGGACGTCCCAAAGCCCCTTGCCAGGCAGCTATGGCCCCCCCCAGACGTACACATTTCAGCAGGCCCCCACTCCAGCCCCCGTCCCTCCACTGTCAGAGGGCCCCCCAAGCACAGGCTCTGTTCACTCCTGGGATCTTCTGGGGCCCAGTGCTGGCCCCGTGAGCCCGTTTGCTCCATGGAGACACAGGGGTGAGCTAGAGGCCAGGAGGGGGAGAGGAGTGAGCAGAGGCTGTGCCCATGCCCTGGTGGCCCCGCGGCTAAGGAGCTCCTGTCCACCTCGGGACCCTCGCATGCAGCACTGGGCCCCAGAAAGTGGGTGTTTCTCCACCTTGTGTCCAGGGCCTGGAGCTGCCCAGTCAAGCGGGGGCAGGTCCCTGCACCCACTGTCTCCACCACCGGGGCAGCGGGTCAGGCTGACCAGCCAGGAGGGTCACCAGCATCCTGTTTCCACAGCGAGAATGACGCCTCATCAGAGAAGGAGCAGCTGCTGAACCGGAGTCTGGACAGCGACGAGGACCCGGCCCCCGACGGGCAGGGCTCTCCAGAGCGGTGCTTGCTGTCGCTGGTCCACCTGGCCCGGGAGAAGTCGGCCACCGCCACCAGAGCGGCCGGGGTGAGCCCTCACCCAAGTCTGGCCCCACCTCTCCGCTGAGACAGGGCCTCTCCCACGAACCCAGCCAGGCCACAGGTCCCAGACCCTGAAAACACAAAACCCAGCTCTCCTATTACACAGCTTTACAGAAGAAAAGGGAAACAAACACTTCAGGAGAAGGAAGTTTAAATGGCTTGGAGTAGCCCAGGACAGGAGACCCTTTGTGAACACGCTGGCATGTGTCCTGCCAGACAAGAATCACGCACGCGGGCACACACGTGTCTGCTCCCCCGGGAGCGGGAGCGGAAGTGGGCCAGGGGCCGCACAGGGGCCGCGGGGGATGGGACAGCCCGTCAGCTCTGCCCGGGCACCGTCGCCCGTGGTGAAAAGGCCCCACAGGGATCTGGCCGCAGCCCGGTCCCAACAGACACGCCACGTCCTGGCTGCTGAGTATCCCAGCTGCCCGCCGGCGAGCCGGGGTCCCCAGGTCCCTCCTTCCACACAGACCGATGCCAGACGAGGCCTTGGGTTGTCCTGTGGGTCTGTGTCCAGAGGAGCCCCGTGGGCAGCGAGCGGCCCAAGCAGAAGGCTTCCTTCGTAAATCTGACAGAGCCCCTGTGAGCGCACGGCTTGGTTGTTTCCGGCGGAGAAGCAGCTGTCTGCCCACCGAGGTGCAGGGTGGGGCCCTTGTTTGCTGCATTTCTGCCCTCTCTGAGCAGTAACGTTCTCTCCCTCTTGTAGATTCAGAGTAGAAGGAAGAAGATACTGGAGGTGTACGCCCAGGTGTGCGGGGTCGCGGAAGGTAAGCGGAGCCACCACACCAGGCACTGAGTTCGCGGGGACCCTCAGACATCCCCATGAGGGCACTCTGACAGAGCCTGGTGCCCGGGAGCGGGGAGACAAACTGGAGGTGAGGAGCCGTTTCAACACGTTTCCTCCTGTGGGGCTGAAGCAGGACGCACTAGGGCCAGGGTCAAGGAGGCCGGCGCTCAGGGCACAGGAGCGCGCATCCTGCACAACGCGCTCTCTGCATCAGCACCGTTGTCTTCAGGCTTCTACACAAAGATCAGCAGCCCTGCCCTCCCACCGTGGTGAAGTGTCATGGCCTCCTTCTTCTCCAGCGGTCACCACGGCTGGGGATGGGCAGGGAAGGACGGCCAGACGAGGAGTGTGGACGTCTCCATCGGAAGCAGAAGCCACACTCCCAGTTTCTTCCAAATCCAGACCCTCAGCTGCCTTCTCACGCACCCAGGAGAGTAAGAACACTGGTCGTGGAGCTTAGGGGACCCCCCGCCAAGCTTTGTTGGCTGCTGGGCTCTGGTCCCCATCTGGCCCAGGCAGCAGCCAGGGAGCCGGGTGCCCGCCCCCTTTCTCTGCGAGGGCTGTGCCCAGCACCCTGAGCCCAGGCAGGCTCGTGGGTGGGTGCTGTGTGGGCCCGGAGTGACCACTAGGGATGATTCCAGGGGCTGAGAACCCTGCTCAGCCGCCTGCAGAGATGGGGCCTCTGTCCATAACGGCCCCTGCGTGGGTTGGCCGGTCTGCCTGCGCCCGCGAGCGCAATCTGTACTTTGTACTCCACTGCGGTCAAAGCAGGTCTTTGTTCCAGCGGGTGCCTTGGCTTCAAGAGCCCACACCCCTGGCCCAGTGGTTTTCAAATTAATTTCAGATCCTCACAGGGAAGAGGAGGCCCTGCAGCAAGACAGGGAGGGTGAAGCCCTGGGCGCTCAGCCCCCTCCCGCCGCCCAGGGCGGGCGCACACCCCCAGCGACGCACAGCCCCTCGCACGGCCGAGGCCGAGAGCCCTGGACCGCAGAGCCCGGCCCTGGGTGGACGTTATCCCACTACCTCTGCCCAGCGCCCCCGCCTGCCCCCAGGTCCTGATGCGACCCGTCTGCAGTGAGTGCCAGGTGTCAGGGTCCTTTGCTTAGTTTTTAATTAAGCCTGTGACTTCAAGATCATTGTCGATTCACACGTGGAATGAAGAGAGAATACGGAGGGTCCTGGGCCCGTAACCCGGTTTCTCCCGGGGGGTAACCTGCCAAACCGTCCCTAAAAGTCACACCTGGGACATTGCCACTGACCCAGTGAAGACAGCCGTCCTGTCCCCACAGGAGCCCTGTTGGCTTTTCAAGCCCCACACCCTGTCCTTGGTTCCTGGCAGCCCCAGTCCACTCTTGCTTTCTCTAATTTCGTCATCTCTGGGCTGTTAGGCACGGGGACCGTAGCCCCCTGGACGGCGCCCGGCCCCTGATGGGCACCCACAGCTGTTCTAGCCACTCCCCTGCAGAGAAGGGGCGTTTCCTCCGGCTGCTCAAGACTGCTTTGTCTTTAGTTTCCAGAAGTTTATGGTGTGTCTTGATCTGGATTTTGTGGGGTTTATCCTCTCCAGTATTTTCTGAGCTTCTTGACTCTGTAGGCCTCACTCTTTCCAGGTCTGGGAAGTTTCAGCCATTGTTCCTTTATCCGGGCCCACCCACCCCCGTCCTTCTGGGACTTGGTGACACGGGGAGATCTTCTGTGATAGCCCGGAGGTCCCGGGGGCTCTGTGTGTTTAGTCTGTGTTCTCTCGTTCAGACGGGTCACTTCCAGTCTGAGATCCAGCTCACTGACTCCTTCCTCTGCCTCTCTTCTGCCAGTGAGCTTGTCTGCTTTCAATCTTGATTCTTGCATTTTTCAGCCCCAACGTTTGCATTTGGTTCTCTATATTTTCTGTCTTTTGTTAGGGCTTTCTGTTTTTCGTTTGTTTCAAATGTGCTTGTAATTGCTCGCTGAAGCGTTCTCTTGCGGCTTCTTTGAAACGTTGTCAGGTGATTCTGACGTCCGTTATCTCAGTGTCGCCCGCCTGCTGGCCTTTCCCTCATTTGCTGGCGAGCTCCCTGGCTCCTGGTGTGACGAGTGAGTTGCTAGTGAAACCTGAACAGGTCCTGTCGCGTCCCGAGGCTCTGGGTCTTACTTAGCCGTCTCTGGAGCTGGTGTTCCTGGTGCGCCTGTGGCAGGGGCAGGGGTGCCACCTAGTTGCCACCAGGTGGAGGTAGGCGGCCAGGTCCCCACGCAGCTTGCCTTGACACCCAAGCAGGGCTCCTTTCTTGCTGGTGGGGGTGGGAATCTGTTTCTCTGGGTCGTCCCCACTGACGCTGTGGGGGCAGGGAGGCTCCTTACCAGCTGACGGGGAGGAAGTCCAGGCTCCCAGTCCAGCGCTGCCGGCCTCGGAGGGAGTGGGGCCAGGTTGTTCTGTGGTGTTTGACTGTGACGAAGCACTTACTGCCTGAATGTTTTCTTCTTGCTAAGACTGCAGGGTTGGTGGGCATTTTGGTCTGTGCTTGTGGGTATTTCTGGGTTGCTGGGCTCTTCAGCTCCACGTCTGGGATGAGGAATCAGCAGAAAACCGAGAAACTGACCACCGCTGCCCGTCCAGGGCCCCAGCGTCTGCCTCTCCTCCGCACTCTCCAGCCTCCGGACGTTTGCTCCGTGGTGTCCGGGGCTTGGGCCGCACTTACCGGGAGGAATGGGGAGAAGCACGCCCGCTGCGCCCTCCAGAAGTGGAAGCGCCCCACCTCTGGTGCTCCTTGCTGGGCCTCACTGAGACCCTGGGCCACGGAGCTGGCTCAGGTGACACTGTGCTGGGCTGTCTGTGGAGCACCTTTCATTGACGTGACTGCAGCCCCCAAAAAGGGACATGATGCTGTCCCTCGACCCCTCCTTGGCCCAGCCCCCTGTGGGGCAGGGACACCTGACAAAGGGAGGCCTGTATTAAAGCCGTTGGTGACTGTAGTGTGTCCTTGCGGGCGTCCAGGATTTGGATTTTGTTGTTGTTTTTAAGGGGGGGTAATTAGGTTTATTTATTTTTGTAATGGAGGCACTGGGGATTGAGCCCAGGGCCTTGTGCACGCTAGGCACGTGCTCTACCCCTGAGCACATGCCTCCCCCAGTAGGGGCTATTGGTTGAGGGAAATGAGAGCCTTCTTGTGTGGCTGGCAAGGTCCCAGGATTTGTTCACCTTAAGTGTGTACTTGTGTGGTTTTGTGCATCTGTGTTTTGCTTTACAATGAAAGAGGTTCTAGAAGTCATTTCTGCTGGGGTCACACTCCTGCTGCGGTCACACTCCTGCTGTGGTCTGATGTGGTCCTCTGTCCCGCAGGCCTCAGCCCCACGGAGCTGCCGTTCGACTGCCTGGAGAAAGCCAGCCGGATGCTCAGCTCCACATACAACTCGGAGAAGGCGGTGGTGAAGACGTGGCGCCATCTGGCCGAGAGCTTCGGGCTGAAGCGGGACGAGATCGGGGGCATGACGGATGGCCTGCAGCTGTTCGACCGCATCAGCACTGCCGGCTACAGCATCCCGGAGCTGCTGACCAAGCTGGTGCAGATCGAGCGGCTGGATGCCGTGGAGTCCCTGTGTGCAGACATCCTGGAGTGGGCCGGGGTCCTGCCACCCACACCCCCACCACCCCCTGTGTCCTGAGGAGCGCGTGGATGGGCTGGGATGGAGGTGGGCTCTGCAGCGGGAGCGGTGTCCGCAGACCCCAGAATCGGGCTTTCTCCGCTGGCAAGCCTGGTCCAGGGAGTAAGAGGAAACTGGGGCCTGTCTTCCTGTCTAACCAAACCCAGGAGATGTGCGCTGGGGTCACCAGGCAGAGGGAGTCTGTGTTCGTCCGGCTGCCCTGCCACTCCTTCTCCGCGGACACGGCTGGTCCCCACCCCACGTGCCCGAGCAGTGTCAGGGGACAGAGGCGGAGATCTGGTCCAGGTTTTGGGGAGAGACAGAGACATGCCTGGAGCTGCTTTTCTGGAAGACGGCACACAACCCGCGGGAGGGAGGTCCTGGAAACGTGAGCACGGCTCGGAGAAGAGATGGCGCCCACGGGGGACGAAGGGGGCCGGGTGTCCTCGTGAAGAAAGCGGCTCCAAAGTTGGGAAAAGGCTACAAAATGCAGAACCTGCTGCGTGTGTGGTGTCTGGCTCTGCTCACGTCTGAGTCCTAGGTGTCCCTGAGGTCACCTGTGTCCCTCTGGCTTTCCGTGGAACGACAGCCCCTCTGCATCTGCCTTGCGTGCTGTTTGTGGGCTGTGGCCGACCTCACTGCTGTGTGTGGCCCGGGCTGGGAACCAGGGTCCCTGGACGGCCTTCCACTCTGTCCTCAGTCGGACTTGACCCCATGAGGGCAGCAGTGCTCAGGGACATGGGCCGTTTGCTTCAAGCAGAAATGAGCGGTCAGCCGAGGGGCTGGCCACGTGACTCCAGGTCTCCAGGGGCCTCAGACGTGGATGCACTGTGTGGCGCCTTCCGAGCCCATGGGGACTGTGGGGACCGGCATCCGGGACCTGGTGTGGCTTTGCCAACGTGGGCCGTTCCCTTCCCCTCTCTGGCCCAGCGCATCTGCCACGCAGAGTCAGGGAAGGAGGCTCGGGCCAGCGAAAGTGAGTTGGGGCTGGAGGAAACACCAGGCCTCTGTGGGGCTGCCCCCGTGGACGTGCAAGCCGCCCGAGCCATCAGGTAAAACGGGAATGAAAACAGAAGAATGCAGAATTGAGTTTTCACGGTAACTGTGAGTGTTCGTCCCCCATTCAGGGAGAAAGTTAATGGTTGGGACTCGTTCCTGCAAATTCTCTCATGTCTGCCGACGCCCGAGACTGGGAATTAACGGGGTAACTCAGAGCTCTCTGCTGAGCCCCCAAGGCAGGCCTGA